ACGTGATAATTAAGCAAAGTCCTCACAAGCGAATTTCACAGTCGCTGAAGAAGCAGCTTATTAAACCGAACGTTTCGCCATTTGCATATTTAAATTTCTATTTCCGCGGAGCTCTGCCCGCGGGGCAGAGCTACCAGGTTGGGTGGAAAAACCGCAGAAAGCGACCTTTTATCTCATTTCATACTTCTTATCGTCACGGAAAATAGCATTGATCTTTTCGTTCTTCGCGTCGGAATGTCATCTGAAGCATCTCCGTTTATCTTCGAATCTGAGAATCAATCTTCGACTTGTTGAATGATGTTATCCGAGAATTTCTTCCATTTAATATCGAGATTTATTTCTCATCAAAATATATTTGTCAAAGTATAATATTATATCAGGCAGTCCTATTAATCAAATTATGAAAGAATTTACATCGATTTTACAAATAAATATATAGTTATTCTTCCATCTCTAATATTGCATATCAAAGATCAGGCGAAACAAAGGTTTATACATCGTCAAAATTTATTGATTTTTTTTTCCGTACGTATCTCCCTCGATAATTTTAGTTTTTCATGGAATTGGAATATTTTTTTGTACGATAGTTTTATTATATATCGGTTGTAAAATTAATTAAACCATTCGTTATGCGACGTGGTCCTCTGTTATTCGGCGAGCTGTTGAAGGTCGTTTAATTGAATATTCAAAAAAATTCACATGTATCGTGGCGGAAGACCACTATATGTAACGACCACTTTAAATGATTAGTCCACCGCGGCAATTGCAGGCGCCCTTGGGTATTTAAATTATTAATTAATAATCACCAATGCATGTACCTTTGTTAACTACGCGATCGTAATCGCTAATTATTTCGACTCCGTGATCGCTAATTCAATAAAATCCAGTATTAACCGTTTAAGTTGTCGGAAATATATTTTTTTAGTCGCGGAAATAGATTTTTTTTTTTTTCAAGTACAGTAAAACGTATGTTCAAATGATAAAAGCAATATCTACATTTCGTTTTGTAAAAGAGCCCGTGGCAATTATTCGTGTCACGCGTTCACTGAAAAGGAAATATTTGACAAGAAAATTGCACAAGCGCAAAGTTGCGTTAAAATTAGAGACACGTGTATTTTGCAAGCGCATAAACGAGTACACTACGAATACGAAATTAAATGATTATTCTTTGTTGCCGGTTAATTGGATAAACGTTTATTTCATCGTCTTTTCTTTGTGATCAATTCATGGGCTGTATAAAACAGTACGTATATTGATTCAGGCGGGGGTTGCATTTTATTCCCGTACTTTAATAAAGCGATAAGCTACGTAAACAATAATAAATAATATACAACGCATATTTATATACGATTATATGCAATTATACGATATACAATTATACGATACTTGGATATATATTTGCATGATGATTTAATAGTGGAATTATGATTTCGAGCGCTTTCATCGCAATTCCAGAATGTCCCGTAATCGCCTCGTATGATATCAACGTGGTTCGCCGATTCTCCCCGAGCAATCCTCGTGGCTCTAAATCAGGGACACCTGTTTGTAAGCGCCATCATACAGCGCACCTGCGTCGGTGTGGTGGCACCTTTATCCAAGCCGTTAGTTACGGACGCAACTCGCGGTGTGTCAGTAACAACAGGCACCCACGAAGTTTGCCCACCTGTCCTGATAATGTCGGTTAATATCATGTAAATTGTAATTAATATTCATGGGGTTAATTCGCTGCCGCGGTCGGCCCGACGCCCCGATGCCGCCGGGACGAAGTTTTAGCGAAAATTTACGGTCGCCACGCAACATATTTCGGACGTACCGCAGACCCTACAGTTACGGCCCTACTCGAGTAAATCACGTCGATCTACGATGGATCGCGGTAGAATTATCGATTTGCTCTTGATTCGCGCAATTAGAAATTCCCGCTAAACTTTGTTTGAAAACAACGAGGATAAACGAAAAATATATTCGTCACGTATACAAATAAGATTATCCGATATTTTATAATTTTAATAGCGGCCCAGATATGTAATAATAAACGTATCATTTTCGTGTAATATAATATTACATTTAAACGATATTTATTTAATTTCTCTCGTGAATATATTATATTTCTGCGCCCGGGGAAAGAGAATATCGAACACGCGAGATAAAAGAAAAGACGGGACATTTGATGAAATATAAATGAAATGTTCTAAATGGAAGTATATTTTAGAAGTCTCGTGCGGCATAAAGACGACGACAAGGTACGGCAATATATTAATTTCCGAGAACGCGTTTTCCGATGATTAAATTTCTGAACTACGGTCGCCCGCGCTCTTTTCACCGTGCACTATTATGGTCAACTCGCGCAACAAATTAGGCACAGCGCAATTAATTAAACAACACGTAGCCGTAGTAAACGTGGCGCAAGCGGGTGGACGTTCTCCGCGAAATTGTATTTGCGACGTAGACGGAAAATAATTTGCAACGTTAACAAGAATTCGGAATAGCGAGTCATTAGCATAGTTTGAGCGTACATACAACATATACGTTTATATACAGGGTCTACCAAAAGTGTGGAAACCCCTAAATATCTCGGAAAATATACGTTTTACAGAAAAGTGTTTCCAACAAAAGTTGTAGGGTTTAAGAAGATCTATATACTGATTCTATCAGTTTGACCTTGGATGGCGTCGTCAAGGTCAGGTCAAGGTCACATTGACTTTTTTAAATGACACCCCCTACATTTGATTGCATATTCTTATAGCTTAATTCAAGAGCTTTCCAAAACACTATAATAATGTTCATTTTTATTAAGTACTTTGCGAGTTATGAGGGTTGAAATAATTTCTTAATTTTACATAAACTATAAAATATCTAGTAAACCATTCATTTTTCGATTATCTTACCTTCATACTTTTATGTACAAAATAATGAAAGGAATCAATTGGTGTAAAGAAAACATACAGTTGTTTTTAAGAAAAAATATGGAATTGTTTATTGCAAATTACATATTTTTTCTTAGAAACAACTATGTGTTTTCTTTACACCAATTGATTCCTCTCATTAATTTGTACATAAAAGTATGAAGGTAAGATAATCGAAAAATGAATGGTTTACTAGATATTTTATGGTTTATGTAAAATTAAGAAATTATTTCAACCCTCATAACTCGCAAAGTACTTAATAAAAATGAACATTATTATAGTGTTTTGGAAAGCTCTTGAATTAAGCTATAAGAATATGCAATCAAATGTAGGGGGTGTCATTTAAAAAAGTCAATGTGACCTTGACCTGACCTTGACGACGCCATCCAAGGTCAAACTGATAGAATCAGTATATAGATCTTCTTAAACCCTACAACTTTTGTTGGAAACACTTTTCTGTAAAACGTATATTTTCCGAGATATTTAGGGGTTTCCACACTTTTGGTAGATCCTGTATATATATATATATATATATATATATATATATATAAATGTATATATATATATATATATATATATGTATGCATTAGTGAGGTTTGTACTTCTTCGTTCGAGGAAAATGTTTACATATAATAGCAGCGCGTTTAACTTGGCGTCGTAATTAAAATAATGGCCCAATGCAAATTGCATGAGGCATTGCGTTATAATATTACTTCAGAGACGCTCCTCGCGCGTAACATCGTTGCATATTTTATTCAGGAGCATCCCTTCATACAGTAGTTGCCTCGGATGAAACGTTTCCCACAAAAGCCGATTTTAATATCCTTCATGATTGTATGCGTTGCGCTTGAATAGATTCCACTTTGCTATGACGAAATGCAAGAATAAAGAGAAACGTAATTTCCGATCGTACATGTGATATCGACATCTAACAGAAATCCTATTAAGAGTTACATCCAGTATCGCAACCATGTAAATCAATGATGCTATATATAATTGATCCTTCTATTCTTAGAATTGCGATAAATTGATAAATATATTAATTATTATTAAATACGCAAAAATATATAATATGTAATTTATATATGAAATATATAAATTATATTTTATTCAAAAGTAGGACGAGACGAACCATGATTTTCTTTAGAGAGAAAGAAATAAAGATATGACAAGTTCTCGGAAGAGAATTCGAATATAAGATATCATCTTCCGAACAACATTTGATTATTTTATATACAAGTTAATAAGTTACAAATGCAGAAAACAATCTTTCTCTTAAACAATTTCATGTTATGATATTGCAAACATGTAAATACAATTCTATTTGTAGCCGGATTTCCCGCCAGCGTCTCTCCGTGAATTTCTCGCAGAAAGAAAAGTAACAGCTGAAAATCACTCTTAATATACGTGATAATGTATGGCTTTTCGCGATTCGTTTTTAAGGTATTTACGTCGGATCACTCTCGCGATGTGACATGCTTTTTCGAGAAGGAAAGAATCGAAGGAGGATCGGATAAAGACAGGTAGCTCGATGTCGCGACTTCCAATTCACGATGTTTTATCAACGACCGCGTTATGATGCCGCCATATCTGCAGTAAAAGAAAATGACACGGAACATTTACGACTATTTACGATTTTCCGATGCATTACCGCGGACTATCCGCTTCGATCGGCAAAATGCCGTTGGCTGCTACTCTGCCCTGATACTCCGGGGACCGACGTATCCCTCTCATATCAGATATAACGTATCCTAAGGATATTCGTTATGTTTAAACGCGCATTTTTTATGTTCACTTTGCATCGCTATATTTCTCGTTTTCTCGTATGGCAAATGTCATACTGGATGAAGAGGTCTGGATCCCGTCTCTCTACCGTAATAAACCGCGTGTCTTCAGGGTGTATTCTTTAGTTTGCGGTAAAAATTGCAAAATTCCATCTTTATACTCGATCTTATTATAATAACATGTCGTTACATGAGATATCATTACGATGAAGATATTATTTTTTTATGGAAAAATAATAATATCTTATAAATAGCAGCAAGCAATTAATTCCAACAAATTATTGCAAGCCAAAATGACGTGAATAGAACTCACCACTGGTCACGTGGATCTGGCAAGGATCTGTGCACGGAGATGAGATCGCTGGCATATTGATTAAATGCATTATTGAGCCAGCCATCGTCCACCAGCTTTTTGGTCTGCACGGACATGTTGGTCGGTAGTATCACGGGCCTGCCCATCTCGCCAGGTGCAAGGGCGTCCGGATCTCGTGGCACAGCCAGTACTCCATCACCTATAGAATTTAGGATTATTAAAGAGATCGCTAATAAGAGAATATTAGTAAATAAATTGATTATAATGAAACAAACAAATCGTTTCCATCGAATTCGCTTTCGAATTAGTTGTAATTAAGTTACAAACGGTTTTATAAAGAAATGATTCTAATTACTATAGTGCTATAATTTATGCGGCTTTCATTGTTTAGCTAAAATTTTGTAAAATGTTTTATTTAAATTTATATTGATTTTTAAGAGAGACACACAATATTTATCATTATTCAAGCAACGTTTGAAAATTAATTTATCTTTTAATTTTTTTTATTTTTATAAGCAAATCTTTTTTCTATTTTTTTTCCTCTTTTCATTCAATTTATTCTTTTGAAAAGAACTTAGAATTAAGATTCTAGAATTAAAATTCTTGATTTTTTCTGATTAAACGATAGGAAAAATTAACATCGAATCAACATATTATCCTATTCATAAAAATATCTTATTATGTTGTAAAGATCAATAGATTGTATAAATGCGGATTTATGTGGCAAAGAAACCTTAGAGAGAACAAATTCTTAATTGAGATTAGAAAACCGTTACTTAATTACGAAAAATATTATACGCGCGTTTGATGAGAAGTAAATGGAGCGATGTAGCGAGTCATGCCAAACTAGTTGTTCCGTTCATATTTTCCCCGATTGCATTCCGGTCTAGTCTCAGCTAATCTCGTTTCACCTCTCGCTTTGTCCCAAGCGAGGCAAGCCCGGTGCTTAACGTCAACGTAAGGAGGAACGAGTCGGCGACGTCGGGTAGAAAAAGGGAATCGGAAATTGAATTTTCAGCACATCCGGCCGGGACATACCGTGCCAAGGTATACGCCTTCTAAGAGCTTTCTCGCATAAACTCCGGTTTTATTTGCCGGAGCCATATTGCCGCGGCATAGCGTTCCTAAAGCCGGGGGGGTAAGTACGCGATATGGTTGGCGCGCGCCCGATCCGCTCGGTCGCCCTCGCTCGCTTGTCCCGAAAATAATTTTATCCCGGTCGACAAAGTTGGGCCCCGGTGTGTACGATGCGGCAATAAAGAGAACGACAAATTGCTTTAGTGTCGCGACCCGGCCCGCCAAGTTCGACGGTGAAACTCGCGTCGTGTATCACGGCCGCCACCCCGTTCCAGCTACGCCAAACACGAGCTTTTCTTGGAAAAACGACCCCGCCGCAGTCTCTTTCATGCAAGATGAAGCGCGTCTCGTTCATTTTCCCCGACCCTCTCGCACGGAGGTATTTAAATTCATTAACACGTCGTTCCGCGCGCGCGCGCGCGCGAGTACGTGAACCTCCCTGGAAACGCGAGATCATAAGAGGCATCAGCAGCGAGACGTCTGGGTTCATCACTCAAGAGATTCTCGCTCACAGACAAGCGACCTTCCCGGTATATCGCGTTGCGCGCCAGCGTGAAACACCCACAATATCGCCGGGATGATCCATGTACTATGAGAGCCCTATTCGTACTTCGCGTCTGGCAATAAGGCGGGATGAACTATCAAGGGTTCCTTATTGCGCCCGTGGCGGCGCCGGGAGAGAAGCAACTTTCGTCTTTGGGAATTCTCCACAGTCGCATTCCCGCTCTATATTCTTCCTGCACGAGGTTTGCTTTTATTCCTAGGTCCAGTTAAATTTAATTAATTAATACGTATCGAAAAGTGCAAACCGATATAAGCGTTTCGAGCTAAAAGGAATTTTAAACAAAACGCGCGTAAAAATTAGAGTTTTTCTCAAAAGATAAATTAATCTTAAATCGACATATCTTTATATTTCAAATATTCTTCTTAAATTGTTTTCATAAATAAAGTTGTCAACAAGTACAGTGTCTTGTATAAAAATGTATTAATTACTTGGATAAAATTTATACAAATCTGTAACAAAACAATTTAAAAATAATATTTCTCTCCGAAAATATTTTAAAGTTGTTAAAATAAATAAAACTTTTCCATTTGAAATTCCTCATTAATATTGCGATAAATCGAATTGATTAATATTAGAAATAGATAAATCTGTAATGATTAATGCTTAAAAAACCATCTCGAAATGTCGAACACGTTGAGCCACAGGTGGCTCGCGAACTAACTTAACATTCTCGATATGATTCATGCACAGACCATACATTCCACAAGGAACATCTATCAGCTTATTAAGACCTAACTCGCACCTAATCCGCGAGGGGTGTCAGCCTATTAAGCCGTTTCCTAACAGACTTGATTCATGTAGCCATTTATAGTATATCTATACATTGACAAAAGATCTTCTTGAAATAAAGAATTATTAATATTACATACAATCTTTATGAAAATTTTTGAAAAAAAGAAATAGAAAGATTTTCAAAATAATTTTCATGCAGAAATATTATTTCAGAGAAATATTCTATGTTTCTCTGAAAAAAAAAATAAAAACGACGCACCTTTCACGTCAAATTTAAACAGATCAAAATAATAATTTTCACGCGAAAATAGTGTTTCACAATAAGAAAATTAAATGTGCTACATATAAATGTGTCTTTCGCGTTAAAAGATATTATTAATTTAATTTATTACGAACGTCCATTTAAATTTTGTAAAAATATTCCTTCAAAATTTCTTAATTTCCAAGATATTTTTGCGCAAAATTTAAGGTAAAAAAATTGATAAAAACTTCTTAATATATCTTTCTTTTTTATTATACATGTTTCTTAATGTTTTTCATTTTTATAGAGAAAAAAAAACCGAGTTAAATTTCAAGAAATTTAAAAATGTACTGAAAAAAAACCGAATAGTTTTCGTAAAATCAATATTTTTTACTTTTATTACATTTCCATTTTTTCATTAAAAATTGCAATAAAGAATGTATTGTTGTATGTATTGTTATTATTAATATTGTGTTAAGATATTGAATTAAATAGAGGTATATTATCTATAATATATTTTAAACATACGATTCGCGTGAAATGTCAACCTATTAAGCCGTCCTAACAGGATTTTGATTCATGTGACATTTACATTATACCTATATTACATTGACAAAAGATGAAATGAAGCTATTGATACATATATTAATATATATATTTTAAATGCACGATTCACACAACGTCAGCGGATTACCAACCATAAGTTTCCAATAAGAGCAAAATTACCAAAGGGGGCAATTTTAATAAAATTCCACGAGAATTCTCTGATTTTCAGATACAAGAGAGAAATCCTTATATTAATATTCTCCATATTTTCTTTTTCGGAAATAGATATTTTTTATTCTCGCAGAATCGAGAAAAATTAATATCATTTCCGATATTACAATTATTTCCTAATTAAAATTAATTCCGATAAATTGACGATAAACAAAAAGAATGAAGAGAAAGAGTAAGGAAAAAACACTGGTGCTTAAATTACCTTGCTCCGGTCCGGCCTGATCCTTGATCTTCGCCCTGTTGCTGAGCACGTTGCCGGGCGTCTCTTTTCTGAAGGGCGCCGCGGGCGGCACAAAGCCGTTCGCCGCTTGCTGCGGCGGCATCGCGACGCCCGACGGCGCCAACCCCTGAACGGCGGCCGCCCGATCCTCGGTGTAGAGCAGGAAACAGACGGTCACCCACACGGCGGTCGCCAACACCGCCACCTTCAGCCACAACGACCTTCTCCTGGGAAAGCCCATCTCCTATCGCCGCTGCTCCTCGATCCTCCCTTTGTGCGCCCGCTGCGATTACCGACACCCTCGTCCTGCGCCCTGCGATTATCGTGCTTCTCGTGCGGCCTCGAAATGTCGTGTTACCTCAGCAGCATCATCCTCTCGTCCTCTCCGCAATCTTCTTCCACCGACCGACTCGCCGAATGACGCCGAAAGGTCCAGATCAGTTTCTCCTTTCTACGCGATCGAGGACGCTAATTAAACGTCTGAGTGGAGGGAGAAGATCGATGTGGGAAACGGCGCTTCCCTTTCACGAGTAATCGCGCTAGAAATCTTCGCGGATACGTCCTCTTCTCCTCGGCGAACAATATTTTATACTATAAGTTCGGATAAATTCTCACTGACGTGTAATATCTCCCGTAACCATCTGTGAGCGTATATGCGTCACATCGTCCGTTTCGATAAAATTATTATCTAAAGTTGATGCCTCGATATCGTAACCATGTATTTCACGCGAGAGATGTGATAAAATATATCGATAAATTATACGCATTTAATTTTGTAGTAGTTTGAGATATATAACGTTGCAGGCATTCGCCGACTTTTATAATCTGATACGTTTTCTGATTCGATATGTGTCACATTTATTTTCGTCGTTTGCTTCCAACACAGAACGTCGTAAAAATTTGTATATTAATACGGATTATAGCATTCGCAGACTGGATATGATTACAGTCTTTTCAATAATAATCCACATATGTATCGATGCGATATGTATATTTCCAGGTTGAATGTTTTCATCACCGCATTTTATATCTGTAAATCATAAAGTGATAATCGATATTAGGAAGATAAATATAGTCGAATAATATATATATAATATATAATATAAAGAAGACTACAATTAAATAAAATTAAAAATATCCGAATAACAAGAAAGCTGCATTTATTTATTTAAATTTATTTATTTAAAATTATCTCTTAGAAATATTTAATGAAATTTATTTAATCATTTAATAAATTCAAAATATTTTAGGATAATAAACATATACACACACTACATGCACTCTCTGTTATGTCACGTATTAATATTTAATCCCTTACAATTTACGGTAATAAATTTCATAATGAGTTTAACTAACTTATAAATAAGTATTTTAATTAAATATCTAAGTAATATTAGAATCTAATATTAGAATCTAATATCTAAATAATATTAGAATCGTTATAAAATTATTATTTGAATAGCGATTTTCGACATATTGGTTAACATCATGAACGGAATACAAGTTTTGCTTTCACAATTATCGACTTTTTAAATTTTCAAAATAAGAAACTTTCACAATTGACACGATAACAAGTATCTGCAATATATTTCGCATTCTTATTCAGTGATCAGTCTAACAGACTTGGTTCAAGCAATTTACTAAATCCAGCGTCTCCAATAAAATAAAGATTATCCGATATTAATTATCGATTATAATTATTGATGCGATATTAAGTAAATGAATAAATAAAAGTATTTTTGTTTACAACAAGTGGAAATAAAAATGTGACAGCTCTCGTGTTTTTTTTAATTACAAATATAATCTTTACATCTTTGAAATACGTCTTACAATTTACTTATCTCGCCAGACGGTGTTATATGATAAGAGATAATCTGAAAATACGATCGACTTGAGAATTTCTCAATTAAGAGAATGATCGTAAAGTTGCGCGCTCGTTAAACGATCTATAATCCAGAGTTCAACGTGTGTATATAAAATATGTTCTTGCGAGTAACCCGGCACCAAGTAATTGGAAAATACGCGCGTCTCGGGGCCTTATTAACTTTGTATTAAATTAGGAAATTAGGAACTTTCGGCCACACGACAGCATATTTGTCAACGACATTAAGACGTATATAGATGTAATTGACGATATCGATATCTTAGATATCCGAAAGACTCCATCAGACGCTATCAGACAGACGGTACTTCGTCGTGGAAATAAATATCGCAGAGAGAAATGAATTGTCGCGAATAAATTAAATTGAATCGCGATAAGATCGATGGACGATTATCCGCCATTTTCATCGGACCTATTACGAAACGAGATAATCATACTTCCGACGTGGCGAGTGCGATTGGGCACAGATAAGTGGACGTGCGACCATTGCATTATGCTCAATGCATCGCCCCATGGAAAAGTTGGCCGTCGTCGCGTGCACGCAATCTCGCAGATTGTGCAAAGTTGCTCGTATCTGCTCGTATCGGGAAATCGAGGGTTGCATTCGAAAGAACCGGAGATTGCTGGCATAACGATGAAAAGGCCCCTCGAAAGATTCGAGACGGGAGAGACGCGAGAAAAGCACCCCCGCGAAGGAGAGGAGCGAGTAAAGCACCCTCGCTCGCGCTCCTTTCAGCCGCCCTCGCCGAGACATTTCACTATTCATAGGCGGAGAAAGACGTGGTACATGCACGTTTTACCGTTTCGCGTTTCAACCGTAACCGTATCGCGAGGACGTTTTATCGGATCGATCGGAGCGATGCATCGAGACGGATGTCATGACAGGAGAAGTGCAGTTAAGCCAGCTTTTTACATATCGGGAGATTGAATATCCTGATGTTCGCCAAATTGCATCTGTATCATTGTTTTACGCATAACATCGCTCGCGACGAAAGAAGAAAACGTAAGCTTGATTCAATATAATCACACACGTAATCAATAAATATAAATATAAATATAAATGTAAATAAAAAAAAATTCGTTTTTAAATTTTGATGGAATTTTTCGTATCGACAGAATAAAATTGTGCGCTTCGAGGTAAGATTGAGGGGCGAAAACACATCCCGAAGGTTAGGTAGTAATTTAACTTTTCGTAAGCAAAGATCAGAATTGAGAGATCTCCGAAGAACAATCTCGCTGAGAAACCTTCGACGGTACAATATAAGAGAACTCTGCGGATTATACTATCTTTCTGAGAGGGGCCTTCCATTTCCAACGAGTCGAGAGAACGTTGTCTCGAGTAGACACGTGTACGAAAGCATTGTGCGCGCTGGAGAAACGTTAGTGCGAAAGTAGTCTGGCTCTCTGGCTTTGCTAGAACGTACGTGGCGAAGTGGCATGGTCGCTTTTTAGTGGTCGTTACTATCGGGGACACTTTTCCGTAAAAGAGTTTACTGCTCTCCTCGTCTCTAAAATACCGGTCGATGTATCGTTCTGAAAAACCTCCTTTTTCCTCTCCTTTATGATCCTTTACGATCCGGCAGTAAATATACTGTAAGTAGCATAAGTGTGGCATCTCCCGTCGCGGCAGTAGAAAAAGGTAAGAGTCGGAGATGCGATATATTTTGTCGTGGAATGAACCGTATCCCAGGATCTCAAAAAAAAAGTCATTTGGCGAACGCCGAAAGTAAGAGATTGTTGGATTAAAGTTAAACGCGTAACAGAGAGTAAACTACACAACTAGAACGACAAAAAGAAACAATCGCGATGTAAAAATAATGTATAAGGTTTTGCAGAAAGCACAAATTTAATTTACTGTGGAGTTTTGAAAAGAAAAAGCTACAATATTGTAACGAGAAATTAAATGAAGTCTTGAAGCAAAACGTTAAAAGAGGAAAAATAATATTGTACCGTGTGTTGCTCAAAATTGAAATATTTTTCAGACTAAAAAATAGGCTTCTTGTTTTCTTTTCTAGATTCATACTGTATCGTTTTTATCAAATGTATCGCTTTTTGTACAAATATCGCAGGGCACAAACATATAATATCCCACCAAAATAAAAAATGTCTCCTCTTTCGTAAACGCATTTTTTCGTATATACGATATAAGAGAGTTAGATGAGAGATTAGTGAGTGAAATGTGTTTACCTTGTAATCGGGGGTGTCGAGACGATGTCAGATGGCTAAACGAAGTAGAAGAGAAAGAGTGTATTCATCGTTTGTAAGAGCCTGCTTTCGTAAATTTTGCCGCAAGCGCCATCGCCCTTTCGTGTTAAACCAAGTTACACCGAGCTGGTGCTCAGGTTAACATCGAGCTCGCGTGTCACTGTTTATTTGGGTTAGGTTCTATTTTCGCTACGGGTCTACCACCGACATGAAACGAGAGCACAATGGCTGTATTCTTTGTCCGTCGTTAAATGAATCGCTTAGAGGATAGAAAGGCGAGAAACGTCGGAGAAATGTTGGAGGAAAGGGGTGCCAATCACGTTCGATAATATCGACAGGACATACACGACGTGACGAGATCAAACTGACGACAGTATTAGATAGTTAGGCACAATGATAAGCTTCTTTTTCACTCGAGTCACCTCGAGTCCCCCTCCTCATCCCTCGAGTTACCTCGAGTCCCCCTCCTCATCCCTCGATTCACCTTCGAGTCTTTTTATCCAAACATACTTTTTTCCCTCTCAGCGAAATAATATTTCCTTGCCCTTTTTACACGCCTAACGTTATTTTTTCTTCCTTTATTTCGTTTCTCTAGCAATTTACTAATAATAATAATGAGTTCGCGTTCTCTCAAAGATAAACATATCGAATAATTTATCAGAGTTCAAGTCCTATACAGAATTGTTTGCCGAATAATATCCCCGACAGCCCATCGCGAAATGCGAATTCGATTAATCAAATATCGGCCGTTAATGGCGGCATAATAATGGAATTTTGGATCCTCGCTAAAAGCATTTAAATGCATTCTAAAATTTCCTCTTTCGGCGCGAGTTGAGGTGGATAAAATCGACAATTTTTCAGGCTCGTAAAAATATAAAAAAAAACCGCGTTATTTTCGCGCTGACAAACTTCGGAGCATGCGACATCTTTAAATATTTCTCTATGCGCTCGAGAGAAAAATGAGAAGGAGAGTCGAGAGACGCGGACACGTGAGACACGGGCACAAGCAAGGATATTCGCGGACAACGGAGAATATGGATAGACAACAGAAACCGGCATTCTAGTTCGCCATGCGTCGTGGACTAGGAAAATAAGTCGACCGAAATCCCTCGCGGCGATATCGTGCGAGCTCGGGATATACAAGGGAAAAGAATCACGGGAAGGATTTCAAATCTGCATGAGTCCTCAAACCGATTCCTGTATCCGGAATAAGAGAAATCGAACGAATTGGAAGAGAGAGATATATCTCAGGTACAGCTTTTGGGCGTTATTCAGTCATATCCATTTATCTGGTCTATTTACATTTATTTGGAACACGCACGAAGTGAACAACCCCTAATAAAGATGTATCATTGCAAATGATAATTACATTAATTATTACGCTATTTTTGACAAGCAAGGAGCATATTTATATTGCTAGTGGTAGCAATTATATTAAAATGTTTTAAAAACTTAGCGCAAAAGCGTATTCTGGTATAATTAAATAACCAAACGAGAAAAATCTTGTCTCCTCTCTGTTTAACTAACCTATTAATAGCGTTAAATTAATCCACATTGTGCGCAGAAATATATCTCGTGAATGGGAACGGCTATTTAAAACGTTATCGTGTCTGAAGGCGACACTTTAATTAAATGATAAACTTGATAATTTAACGTTCCAATTTTTCCAAGCATCCAGCCAGATTTAAATGTCTAAAATCACGTTGATTTACAAATACAGAATTAACGTTCATGGTTAAAATTTCGTTAAAGCGAAAATTTGAAATTCCGTTCCGCGCCGCTTAGCGATGGAAATTTGCATGAACGTTACCGCCGTTATACATCCTTAAGATGCATCACTTCATATATTATGCAAAACTCAGTGTAGGATCTGCTTGCACGTCTCGCCGCACGGCGAAAGGAACATATTCGACGGCGAAGAAATTTTCCGAGCTCGACGGTGC